ATAATAATTTAAAATAAATCCTATAAGACAGACATATAAGTTCAGAACCAGGCGCATAATTATAACCATGCGTTTTCACATTTAAAGTCAAGGCATCAAGAATATTAACATCAGAAAGAGATAGTTGCAGATTGGGTTGAGTATTAAAATATACTGGACCATAGGCCACAGTAGATTCAATCGAACCCATCAGAGATTGTCTGAAATTCAGATTTCTAGCATCTCTAAGAGCTGTCAAAAAGGTCTCTGGTAACCCTTTAAGGGTTAACGATTTAAACGCAATTTGAACCATACCAATATGCAAGTAATGATAATGATGTTTGTGTAAGTCAATATCGTGTTTGTTTAACAAACGAATAGTCTGTTCAGAAGAATTTAATGCCAAAGATTGTTCAGTCGTTTTTATCAATTGTTTTGAAGAAACTTTATCAAACCAACCATAATCATAAATGGNAATTAAAAATTAGCCGTTGGAGCCCGTTGGACCCGGTTGAACCGGCCCAGGCCCGCCTGCCGGTCCCGGGCTTAACGGTCCCGGGCTCACGGGCTAAATGTCTTGAACCGGCCCACCACGGGCTTTTACACCACTAGAGCCCAGGCTCGGTTGAACCGGCCCAGGCCCGCCTGCCGGTCCCGGGCTTAACGGTCCCGGGCTCACGGGCTAAATGTCTTGAACCGGCCCACCACGGGCTTTTACACCACTAGAGCCCAGGCTCGGTTGAACCGGCCCGTTTGGCCCGTTTGGCCCGCGGTCCTGGGCCACAATACAGCCTTAGCTTAAGGGACGACTTTTGGGGGACGTTTAGAGCGTCAATTCATAGTCGGGTTTTGGTGAGAAATGGTATTTGCAGTGTTGGAGAAGAAAGAGTAAGGTTGTCGTTTTTGCTTTTTAGTCTAGGTCCTCTTTTTTATTTTAGGAGCTAAAGGGATTATTTTATAGAGGTAGGAATTAGGTTAGGTCAAATGGGAAATGGGTATGGGCTCAATGTTTTGGGCTTGAAGTGATTTGAGTCATGAATTTGGGCTAATTAACTTTGGAGTATTAAGACTAAATCAAAAAAAAATTATTCATTTTCTTTTTCTTTGATTTTAAAAATCTAATAAAATCTTAAACCAATATAATTTGTAAAAATTAAAATTGTTTATCTATTAAAACAACTAATTAACTTAAAACTAAATAAAAATACTATTTTCTAAAGATTAAAAGCTAAATATATAATAATGACCATTTTTGTGATTTTTTCATAATAAAATTAATTCCTACATGCAAATTGAACTTAAGATGACATAATTAAAATGTGATATTTTTCATAATTGTTTATGATTTTAAAATATTAAAAATGTATGAAATGCAACTAAATAAAGAAAAACTTCTAAAATCCCTTAAAATCATTTTTGGTTTATTTTTAAGAGTTATTTTCATGTAGGGCAAAAATTAGGTGCTCACAGTAGCTACGTACAGGCTCTCGTCACCTCGCGCGTACATAGCCCCCATAACAAGTAGCACACATCCATTTACAACACCTAGGGGTAATTTCTCCCTCACAGGGTTAGATAATAGACTTGCCTCGCGCTGAAATTCCATAACCGGCTCCCAAGCCTTTCCAACAACTCCAGCCGATGACCAACGCTCCAAAACTAGTCAATAAATGTGCTAACCAATGAAAATATACTCTAATACTCATAACAATTAAATTTACAACCATTTTCAACTCCGTTCGAAAAGTCGATAAAATCACCCTCAGGCCCACGTGCCCGGATTCCAAAAAATTTTGAAGAGAAACTTGTAGAGCTTTTGAAAGACGATACACGAACTTTGGATTTTCTCATTTGAACACTCCAATTTGACAAAATGGGTAATAATAAACATTTTTTACCATTGACCATGCCTATGTGGAAGCACTGCAGTTGACATAGCTAAACTGTGGGCAAATCACGCTGCCAAGGCGCCTGAATAGTATTGTTTTTACTAAAAAAACTAAAATTAGAATAAAATATAAAGAAAAAATAAAAAAGAGACTTTTCCCCTCCCCTTCCAATTCTTTCGTCTTCCTAGCATGTATTCATACAATTGCTTGAATTCATCTCTTAAAGAGCGGCAGCAATTCTTCCAGCAACTTGGTCAAGATCACGTTGGCCATTGGATGTGATTCTCCTTCCACCCTTAAGATCAAAGTCAACGATGTTCATGTTCTGCAATTGCTGAAGTATGTTGCGTGCAACTGAACCACTGCTCTTAGAGAAATGACGAGGGCGGTTGCCATTCCTCTGGTTACCACCATAGATTCTTCGGAATCCACCAACACCAATACCACCCCTCAAATAGATCTTCCATGCCATAGAAGCAGCTCTAATGTAGTACCAATCAGGGTCATATGGAGCAAGCTCTTTGAGTTTACCAGTCTTGACGAGATCAGTCCACTCAGAAAGCTCCATCTTGCCGGAACGCTTGAGGTGAGAGGTATAAGCCTTCACAAATTCGTGAGGGGAAACATCTTTCACGGTTCTCGCTGCCTCCGTCTTCACTTCTGTTGTTGTTGCGGCACCGATGCAGATCTCTCTTCACGTTCCCTTTTTGTATTTGTAATTTTTTTTTTCTGGTTTTGTATTTAAAAATGGGACCCACAAATAACACATGGCAAGTAATAAATGGTTTAGCATGATGTGTTGTACATGTCAGCGCAATGGATATACATGCTTTGATGTATGTGTTTATTAGTATTCATTTTGTCAAGTTGGAGTGTTCAAATGGAAAAATCCAAAGTTCGTGTATCGGCTTTCAAAAGACCTACAAGTTTAAGTGGTCAGGAAGCCATTACGCCTTTTCAATTTCATGCTCAACTTCGTGGTCAAAATTCAAAAATAACCAATTCTAGGTTTTCTACCAAAACCCCATAATTTCTACTAATTTTCATGTTTAAATCCTTATACAAACCATGTATTTAACTTATAATAAGTGTGAATCACTTACCTTGTGTCGCTTGAAGAAAATCCCTCCTTGAAGCTCTCCAAAATCGCCTCCACCAAGTGAAAATGGAAGAAAAATGGACCAAGTGCGGTCAAAATCCTGCTCTTGCGGTCCTCTTCCGCTTATGTGCCCATTTCTTTGCTTCTGCGCTTGAGCAAATGCGGCCCAAACTCCGCACTTGCGGTTCTTCCCCTGGTTGCCACACTCCGCTTCTACGGCTCCTAGGCCGCTTCTACGGCTCCGTAACTGCAGCCAAAACCTCGCAGGTGCGGTTACACCAGATATTAACTGCCTCAATTCTTCTTCAAATTCCAAATTCGATCTGTTAACCACCCGAGGCCCCCGGGTCCCTATCCAATTATACCAACAAATTCCAAAACATAACGCGGACCTGCTCGAGGCCTTAAATCACATCAAACAACGTCGAATTCATGAATCGCACCCCAATTCAAGCTTGATGAACTTTAGAACTTCAAACTTCTACATTCGATGTTGAAACCTACCAAATCACGTTCGATTGACCTCAAATTTTGCACACAAGTCATATTGATATTACGGATCCACTCCAACTTCCGAAATCGAAATCCGACCCATATATCAAAAAGTCCGCTTCCGGTCAAACTTCTCAAAAACCTTCAAATTTCTAACATTCGCCAAATGACCCCAAAATGACCTACGGACCTCCAAACCTCCAATATCAGAATCACCATACGGAGTTATTCCCAAACTTGGAATCCCGAACAGACATCGATAACATTGAATGCAATTCAACCCAAATTTATAAAATTCTTCTAAAATGCTAACTTCCACAATAGGCGCCAAAACGCTTACAGTTTATCCAAAAACCGATCCGAACATACGTCCAAGTCCGAAATCATCATACGAACCTGCTGGAATCTTCAAATTCTGATTCCGAGGTCGTTTACCCAAAAATCCAACCTTAGTCAATTCTTCCAACTTAAAGCTTCTGAAATAAGAATTTTCTTTCTAAGTCACCTCAAAACTTCCGAAATTTCAAATTCCGACCACGCGTACAAGTCATAATACCTGAAGTGAAACTGGTCATGGCCTCAAATTGCCGAACAATACGCTAGATCTCAAAATGATCGATCAGGTCGTTACATTCTCTCCCACTTAAACATACATTCGTCCTCGAACGTGCTAAGGATTGCACTAGAGTTGTTTGAAATCACTGTTTAAAACCTCGTGCACCTACCCGTGCTAGCACAACCCAGTTGAGCACATTAGCTTCTCATGCCTTCTTCTTTCTCCAATATCACTGAGATCTCCCTCAAAACTATCCCCTTTGCTTCCAAGGTAACATCTTTTTTATGATATTTCCCATTTTATGCTGCGTTGTTTGGCTCCACACATATAAAAATACTTTTGAAACCTATGTATGGTCTGATAGATATTTATATGGCTATAAATCTATCTATCTTTAAGTAGTTTTTAAATGCAATGACAGGCAACCCATCAATCCCGACATAAGCTATTCAGTATCCATTTTGTTCTATTCAATAATTGGGGATACAAAAGATTTTAAAATTCTTAGAATTTTATGTATAGATTGAGATAAAGAGGGTATTGGAGTCACTGTACGGCTTTGAAGTTGAAAAGGTCCAAACTTTAAACATGGATGGAAAGAAGAAGAAGAAGAGAGGTGGCCTATTAATTGCTAAACCTGACTACAAAAAAGCTTATGTTACACTTTACCCTTTGTCTATATCGACGGATCTTTATCCTATACGAATGATCTAAGAGGAAAGAAAAATATGAGCAAGAAATCTAAGTCTAGCATTGTTGAGGATGATGAGCCTAAGAAGATGCATTGGCTTGACGAGAAGAGAGACACGAAGAGTTCAGAGAGGAGATTCAGTCGTGGCCGTGATCGCGAACCTGGTGGAGAACGTTCTTCACATGTTGGTGCTGCAGCAGCAAAGTTCCCTTGGAGTAGTATGAGGTCTTATGCTCCTAGGTAGATCATCCATTTTCTTTGGAATAATTTGAATTTTCTTGGAAATGTTGCTAGTTTAATGGAGTTCTATGGTTTTATGTTAAATTAATTAAATTAGCTATCTTTTTATAGATTTTTAGCTACTTAACAAATTTAAATAATATTGGTAGCTACTTAATAAAATTATTTAATAGCTATAGGAGAGTGTTTATCATTCAAAATTGAGGAAGAGTTTGATTTTTAAAGCAAAATTGGGGATATAAATGATTTTCAACCAAGCATGTCTAACCTAATTGTGTGTGAGCAATCAATCGTGACAAGTCAACCGATCCATAATGAAAGCATCTGTATATAGTAGTCGTTTGTCCACCGGTGGACTCATCCTCAATGCCGTTTAGGCTCTCCAGCTATGTCGGTTGTCCGCCACCTTCCTTTCCCGTGCCCTCATTAAGTGGAAGCTTTTAAAAGCATCTACTGGATTACTCTTCATTGAAAAATGAAGAAACCTACTACAGGCCTATTTTACAGACCAAACTTCATCCAAACGCTACATGGAGCAATCTGTGAAAGAAGGAAAGAATCAAATTGGTGTTCCTTAATGATTCTAGTTCAAAGTTAACCTGTAAGCATGCATTTCTTCATTGTAAGATAGGCATTAGCTGATACAGAAGTCAAGACAAACTGTACATGTCTCTTAGACATGATTAAATAGCGGACAAACAAATTCTAGATGTTTTTTTGGCACACGTGTTCTTCCCTAAAAATGGATGTATATTCCGGACATTTTGTTGTCGGCGCTACTAGAGAAACTGCATATTTTCCATCATGGTTGTCAGCTAAAAGACCATTTAGTTTGTTGAAATGCTAAAACAGAAGTTTATTCCTTCTAACACCCATAAGTTTAAATAGAGATTGTCTAATGTGGAAGGTTCAAATCTTGATGTCCTGAACTCATCAATTATTTAACTCAGTTTTATCACCAGGGACATTGAGTTTATACATGGAAAGAAAAAAGTTTCGTGAAATATAATGCCAATCATATCACTTTAATAAAGTTGATTGTTTGATCAAATATCAACGATCATTTGCTCCTTGTTACCTTGTCAGTATCAGCTAAGCTAATCTTTCTTTTCCTGTTCAAGTGCTTGCACTAACGTACCTTCAAAACAAGACACTCGAAGGAAGTAATGCAAAACAAGTCTTAACCTTTTATAACATGAAAGATTATTGGAAATACAATGGCTTTAACTCTCACTGCAGAAGAACAACCTGTTTATAGATATTCACATCTTCATCTTCGCTCAAACTTTTTTCATTCCAATAATGTCCAAACTTCACAACAAGAAGGTCACAGCCTAAGGTAGAGCCTTGGACCGTGTTCATTTTGTTGAAGTTTGGCAAAATGCCAAAGTCCCACATCGGTTGGGAGTTAAGTTTGGGGGGGATTTTCCCCCTATAAAAGAAGGCCTAATGTTTAGGATTGAAACACACCTCTCATTTGCCTTCTCATCTGTTTAAGGCATTTGTATCTTCTCTCTTTAATATTATTTCACTTGTATTTTTGGAGTGGAATAAAATATTGGTTGTGTCCGAGGAGTAGGCAAAATTAGCCAAACCTCGTAAATTCTGGTGTTCCCTTTAATGTTGCTTTATTGTCTTATTTATTTATTATTTGGTGGCTGTCTTAATTTTTGGTATAGTAGTTGTGACTTATTCACACTATATACATTTGGCTTCCGCAACACATTTTACATTTTTACTAAGGCCTTACGGCCCTTACTATGTGCAAGTGTTACCTGCCTAGTTTAGGCCTTAGGGGTAAGGGGAGAGTGTACATTGTATGCAATTTGCCCTTAGACTTCTGCAAAGAAAATGTTTCCACATTTCAAACCCCCAAAAGACCAACTCTATCATTGCGCCAAGTCTTGTACTCACATCTTTCACTAGCTAACATGCAAAAACATTTTTGAAGTCTGCCATTCTTGATAACACCATATTTCTCTTCATAAGTAGATACTAGACTTAAGCTCGACGAACCCATTGTTCCAATCGAAGCTGCTTTAAAGGAGGACCAAGATCTGGCTTAGTCCTCTGGGGGCAACTCCATTTTCCTGTTGTTTCCAAAGCAGTAGGATGCAAGTTGGTTGTTTCTGTGAGAACCTTTCTTGTCAAAACATGCTTGTGCCTGTTTGATGCAACAGTGATCCCACTTAGAAAAGGAGACTGAACTGCAGAAGGCCTTGGCAAAGGACTTCCATTGTGCAATTGGCTATTTCTGTTCTTTCTGGTTGATCTAAAACCATTCTCTCCTAAGCCATTTATGTTATCTTCTTTGTCCATGATTTCCCCAGCTTCCCTTTTGGATAACTTCTGACTTAACACCCTCGCCACAGGACTATTTTTAGGCTGCACATTGTAAGCAGGTTCAACACAATCTTCAGATTTCGGGCTATTCTCTTCAGAATTCATCCTGTGAATTGGATGTCTATATAATTTTTCACCTTCACAGCTTGAATGATTAATGATACAGGACACTTTGCAGTTAGCTTCTTGAGGGGAGATGGTCTCCAAATGTTCTCCAGTTGTTTTACTGTCTTTGATTACCTTGTTAGTGTATCTTGGTGAACCACATTTGCTATTCTGTGGTTTCTTGTGATATAGAGTCTGTTGAGAAATTCTTTCACGAGACATTTCTTTGGTTACTGTTGTGTTGTTTGTTCCATCAGCCTCCTGAATCTTCAAAGTATACAAATGTAAAGGAAATATCATTAACAGAACTTGTGACAATATGGTAAGGTAGACCTCAATTATGCAACCGAAGTTTAGTTTGCTTCTTTGCATGGTAACAATTGTATAACTATTAGAATCAGAGATGAGATAGTTTATATGCATAAGTAGCTTTCAGCCAACTGATAATACATCTAACTAACTATAGATAAAATAGATCTTTTAATGTTCCTCAATGTCTTCTTATTGTATATTCCTGTACGTGATCCATCACTATAATTCAATGTAATCTTATTGTATAAACTAGGTACTGACCCCTTCCGGCAAAAGATCCATGCAATCTCAGACAGATAAAAACATAAATTACTATCCACCTGTTTGTTGGTCTACAGCTTAATGTGCCGACCCGCCACATTCGTTACTGATTTTGCCGCCTAAAGGGCCACAAACCGAGTCAAACCTTGCTGCCAAAGGCCAGGTAATCTTTGCACATGGAGGACACAGCCCCACAGCCCGCTGGGTCATGGCAGCCACCCTCTACCAATAAAGACAAGTGTTGCACAGCTGGGTAAGGCCACAACCTGTCAACACAATCATGGGAGCCAATCTGGGCCAGCAGGAATTAGTGCACAGCAGCTGGACGAGGCCACAGGCTGGAAATCTGCTAACATAATGATGGAAGTCACTTAGTGCAGTGCCTCACAACTGGACGGGTCCACTGCCAGCCATGCCCATCAGTGGACGGTTTTGTATATAAATAGGCATGCTTAGGCCTTGTTAGAAGGCATCTCATACACACTTTGTATTTTCCCTTTGTTTATCAAGTAAATTAGAAAATTGGCCTTGCCCTCCCATTCCTTGTGTGTCTTTCATTTCATTGTCTTTCCAGCTTTTGTGTGTGTTTGCCTTAGCTTGAGCACGACTTTGTGTTTGCTATTTCGTTAGGACTGAGACTAGAAGCAGATAACGGCTGTCTAGTTGTCCGCACGTCGCTTACTGGAGTTAAGCCTGTGACAACTGGTATCAAGGCAGAGGCGAGGGACATGGCAAACGAAGGAGACGATGCTGTTTTGGGTAACATTTGTGGGAGAGACGAGTCACCAACAAAGAAGCATAAACCAAAGAGAAGAGGGACGAGCAAGGTGCGAGTCCTGCCATAGCCATAACAAGTGAGGGTGTTTCCTATGAGCCACCCCCACAGCAGGTTAGTCATGGCGAGGAAGGTAATGGTTCTGCATCGAGCCGCTTAGACGAGCCAGTAGACCTCACTGAGGCTGGTTTAGCTGCTTTAAACCAGCGTCTTGAAGTTGTTGAAGGCAACTTCGCTTCACTTGAGTCTACTGCCTTAGAAGAGCTGGGAGACGCCAAGGAAGCCGTGGATCAAATGACCGAGGAGCACAAGGAAGGACTAACCAACCTTGAGCTCAAGCTGACCGAGGCTGTCTCAACGTTGCACAGGGAGGTTGAGATTCTAAAGCAACAATTAGAGGCAGTAAGGCTTGCCGGTGGCACTGGTCCTGTGACGATTCGTGAAACCAAAATCGATGCCCCCAAACCCAAAGAGTTCAGAGGCGAAAGAAGCGCTCAAGACGTTGAGAACTTCATTTGGAAAATGGAGGACTACTATGAGCACCTCAACATCGTTGATGAGGCTGCCAAAATCAGGGCCGCAACGATGTACCTAATCGATACCGCCATGCTTTGGTGGCGGAAGAAGAAAACCGAGATGGAGAAAGGCACTTGCTCCATCACAACTTGGGAGCAGTTCAAGTCCGAGCTAAAGCGACAGTTTTATCCACAAAACATCGTCAATGAAGCTTGTCGGAAGTTGAGAGAGCTGAAACAAACAACTTCCATTCGTGAGTACGTAAAGGAGTTCACCAAACTCATTTTGCATATCCCCAACATATCAGGTGAGGACTTGTTGTTTTATTTCATGGATGGCCTTCAAAACTGGGCCAAACAAGAGTTGCAGCAACGTCAAGTTAAAGACGTCGATGAAGCTATCGTCGTGGCTGAGTCCTTGACGGATTTTAAGACAGAAGCTACCAAGTCAAGGGACACCAAGAGCAAACCCGTCAGATCCGGAGGAGATCGTACATATCGAGACAAAGGCAAGCAAATTGTTGGCCCCAATCGTGATTCCAAAGGAGAAGGCAACCGCAATTCTCACTGGTGCGACAGGTACAATGAAAAGAAGAAGACAAATGGTCCATGCAATGGTTGCTATCTTTGCAAGGACCCTGGCCATCACTATAGAGATTGTCCTTCTTTGGGCAAGCTCAGTGCCTTAATCGCAGCGGAACGGAGGCAAAAAGGTGTGGCACAAACGGATATGCAAGCAGGTGAGGCTACTGCTTAAGGGAGACAAAATGTGGCGCATCTTGGCCACATGATGTTCGGTGCGTTGCTGACCAAAGAGCCTGCTTTGAAGCAGGTTGCTCGGGACAAACCTGACCTTACTCAAATGGGTCAGACTTTACTTGGTGCTGTGATGGGCAAGGAACCCAAGTTGAAGCAAAAAGGATCACTGTTTGTGGATGCGAAGCTTAATGGACAACCCGTTCGCATCATGGTCGACACTGGGGCGACACACAACTTCGTGACTGAAGCAAAGGCTAGATCATTTGGCCTTACTTTTAGTCCCAGCAGTTCTTTGTTAAAAACAGTCAATGCCAATCTCACAAACGTAAATGGAGTTGCTCACAATGTGCAACTCAATTTAGGAGCTTGGCAAGGGAGTGTGAGTTTCTTTGTCGCTCCCATGGACGTGTTTGATATCATATTGGGCCTGAACTATTGGGACGAAGTCATGGCGTTCATTTCCCCAGCCTTNTATGGACGTGTTTGATATCGTATTGGGCCTGGACTATTGGGATGAAGTCATGGCATTCCTTTCCCCCAGCCTTAACCAAATATATATTTATGATCCAAGGGGTCCTTGCGTGGTACCAACCCTTCGTGTGCCACAAGCCGTAGGTCAATTATCAGCAATGCAGATTGTGAAGGGCTTCAAGAGAGGAGAAGCCACGTTCTTAGCAGCCATAACTGAGATTGACGAGGTCAAGGTTGATGAGACCTTGCTCCCATGTGTGCAGCAGGTTCTTGATGAAAACATGGATATTATGCCGGAAGAACTTCCCAAATGTTTGCCACCCCGAAGGGAAGTGGATCATCAGATTGAGCTGATTCCGGGAGCAAAGCCACCTGTCATGGGTCCGTATCGCATGGCACCTCCAGAATTGGAGGAATTGAGGAAGCAACTGAAGGGGTTGCTTGAAGCGGGACACGTTAGATCGTCAAAGGCGCCATTTGGAGCACCAGTCTTGTTCCAAAAGAAGCAAGATGGGTAATTACGACTGTGCATAGACTATCGTGCCCTCAACAAAGTCGCGATGAAAAACAAATATCCAATCCCTTTGATAGCAGATTTGTTTGATCATCTTGGCCAAGCCAAGGTATTTACCAAGATGGATTTAAGGAAATGATATTATCAAGTCCACATAGCCGAAAGAGATGAACCGAAGACGACTTGTGTAACCCGGTATGAAGCCTTTGAGTGGTTGGTGATGCCGTTTGGCTTAACCAACGCCCCCGCAACTTTTTGCACATTAATGAACAAGTTGTTCCACCCCTTTTTGGATCAGTTTGTGGTCATCTATCTTGATGACATTGTGATCTATAGCAGCAACATGAGGGAACATCTTGAGCACCTCCGCAAAGTTTTCCAAATTCTAAGGGAAAACAACTTATTCGTAAGAGGGAAAAGTGTTCTTTTGCCCAACTCCAAGTGAAATTTTTGGGGCATACGATCAGCCAGGGACAAATTCGTATGGACAGCCACAAAGTCGCAGCAATTAGAGATTGGGAGGCCCCAACGAAGGTAACCGAGTTGCGGTCCTTTCTTGGCCTTGCCAACTATTACCGGCGATTCATTCTTGGCTACTCAACAATTGCGGCTCCGCTCACAGACATACTGAAGAAGGATCATTCCTGGGAGTGCACCGAATTGTGTAAAGGGGCATTCGAGGGGCTCAAATCTGTGATTACGGAGGAGCCTGTTTTGACCTTACCAGACTTTTCGAAAGTCTTTGAAGTCCACACGGATGCATCTGATTTTGCTATTGGGGGTGTCCTAATGCAAGAGGGCCACCCAATAGCCTTTGAGAGCCGAAAATTGAATGATGCGAAGCGTTGGTATATGGTCCAAGAAAAGGAGATGACGGCAGTAGTTCATTGCCTCAGGACCTGGCGCCATTACTTGTTGGGATCCCCTTTTGTCGTCAAAAGGGATAATGTGGCGACGAGTTATTTCTAGTCACAAAAGAAGTTGTCACCCAAGCAAGCAAGGTGGCAGGACTTCTTGGCGGAATTTGACTATTCCTTGGAGTATAAGCCGGGGAAAGCTAATGTTGTTGCCGACACATTGAGTCGGAAGGCAGTGCTGGCGCCAATTGTTAGCACAACCAACAGCGATATCCTTGATGCAATCAAGGAAGGAATGCAGCATGATCCGGTGGCGAAGCAACTTCTTGACTTGGCCAGCCAAGGTAAGACAAAGAAGTTTTGGGTGGAAAATGGTCTCATGTATACTACCGGCAGACGCATCTTTGTGCCTAAATGGGGCAACCTTAGGCGCACCCTAATCAAAGAGGGGAACGACACAGTTTGGGCAGGGCATTCAGGCCAAAAGCGCACTTTGGCGTTGTTAGAAGCATCATATTATTGGCCGCATATGAGGGATGACATTGAAGTGTACGTCCGAACATGTCTTGTGTGCCAACAGGACGAAGTTGAACACAAAGTACCGGGAGGCTTGCTTGAGCCTTTACCAGTAGCGGAAAAGCCATGGGACAGCGTCACCATGGATTTCATCACGTGTCTGCCAAACTCGGAGGGCTTTGGCACAATCATGGTAGTGGTTGATCGGTTTTCAAAATATNCTGTTCAACTTGTTGGGATCGGAGTTACACTTCTCCACCAGTTTTCATCCACAAACGGATGGCCAAACTGAGAGGATCAATGCTCTCCTGGAGCTATATTTGAGACACTTTGTTAGTGCCAATCAAAAGGACTAGGCCAAGCTACTTGACACTACCCAGTTTTCATACAACCTGCAACGCAGTGAATCGACTGGGAGGAGCCCTTTCGAACTTGCAACGGGGCAGCAGCCTAACATTCCTCAGTCTTTGCCCACGAGTGCAGAATTAAGGAACCCAGGGGCGTTTCATATGGCGAAAGTTTGGGATGAGCAAATGGATATGGCAAGATCTTACTTAGATAAGGTTGCCCGCAAGATGAAAAAGTTTGTTGATCACAAGAGGCGTCCGGTGAACTATAGAATTAGGGATAAAGTGATGGTGAAACTCAATCCACGACAGTTCAAATCGTTGAGGGGCGTCAATCAAAACTTGATTCGACGCTACGATGGGCCATTTGAAATCACGGCCAAGGTTGGCAAGATTTCTTTTAAGCTGGACATGCCTCATCATTTGAAGATCCATCCCGTCTTCCATGCTAGCCAGCTCAAGCCATATTATGAAAACAAGGATGATGCGGAACGAGGACAGCCCAGCCGTGCCCAAATTTTCATCACACCTTCTGCCATTGACAAGAAGATTGAGGCGATCATTGATCATCAACTAGTCCGAGGCAAAGGTTGGGGCAACTCGAGTGCCCAATTTCTTGTTCATTGGAAAGGACAGTCACCGGAGGAGGCGTCATGGGAAAAGTACGAGGACCTATGGCAGTTCAAAGATCAAGTCTATGATTACTTGAACCTTTGTGGCGCCGCGGTCGTCGCCATTTCAAGTGGGGGAGAGTGTGCCGACCCGCCACATTCATTACTAATTTTGCCACCTAAGGGGCCACAAACCGAGTCAAACCTGGCTGCCAAAGGCCAGGTAATCTTTGCACATGGAGGACACGGCCCCACAGCCCGCTGGGACAATCATGGCAGTCACCCTCTACCAACAAAGACAAGTGTTGCACAACTGGGTAAGGCCACAACCTGTCAGCACAATCATGGGAGCCAATCTGGGCCAGCAGGAATTAGTGCACAGCAGTTGGACGAGGCCACAGGCAGGAAATCTGTCAACATAATGATGGAAATCACTTAGTGCAGTGCCTCACAGCTGGACGGGTCCACTGCTAACCATGCCCATCAGTGGACGGTTTTGTATATAAATAGGCATGCTTAGGCCTTGTTAGAAGGTATCTCATACACACTTTGTATTTTCCCTTTGTTTATCAAGTAAATCAGAAAATTGGCCTTGGCCTCCCATTCCTTGTGTGTCTTTCATTTCATTGTCTTTCCAGCTTTTGTGTGTGTTTGCCTTAGCTTGAGCACGACTTTGTGCTTGCTATTTCGTTAGGACTAAGACTAGAAGCAGATAACGACTGTCTAGTTGTCCGCACGTCGCTTACTGGAGTTAAGCCCATGACATAAGGTTCATAAAAATTTAACTTGGGAATGTACATCCAATAAGTCTACATCTAAAGCATGACTTCACAAAGAATTGATTATCGAAAGGGGAGAGAGAGAGGGGGAGAAAGAGAGAGAGGGAGGNTTGAGACAGGCAGATGCTCATACTTGTCATCATGGATAAAACTAGATCCTAATGAATTCCTTAAATTCTGAGGTTCCCCACAGCCATTATACTCATTCATATACACTTTGTCATCAAATTCTTTCTCATGATATGGAAGTACGAAATTTTGAATAGTATCCACTTTTGGGGATTCGTAAACATAGCTAGAGAACCAGTTCTGGATGTCTGGAGGCTCTGATAAAGACCATACAGGAAGATTAGCATTAACAAAAACTATGTGCCTGCTTAAAAAATGGAAGCTCATATATTAGGAGGTGAAAGGATCACACTTACCTGAAGCAAGTGACATGTCATTTGAGTTCACATCCTAAAAGACACAAGTATTAAAAATCATGCTTTAGGAAGAGAACACAGGAGAGACAATCCAAAAAAATCCCAGTGCTACACTGGGTGCAAAAAAGGGAATGCATATGTACATGACTTGATGTTTGTTCATAGAAGATTTTGCAAATTTTCCCCACACAAATTTGCATATCTACTTCCAATAAGCAATTTTTCAGCTTTACATACTATAGGGGACATGTTAATGAAACCTGTAAGAATAATCAGAGAAAACTGGACCATTCTTATCCAAATCCACCACCAAGACTGAGCACTTTATAATAAATTGACTTTATTCCAATCAAAAGTTTGCACAGAGTAATTGACACAACAATAGAAAATAGCTCACCTGACCTACCCTTTTGTTATCTGCAACAGAGTTTGTACACTGAAGAAGGCCCTTCGAAGCCACATCAACACCAGAATACACACTATCACTTTTCCCATTTGTTTGATTTTCAGCAGAATTATCTTCCTCCTTGCTGTCACTGTCTTCTTTGCATCCTTTGGTGCTAGTATCCTCTTTGAAACCGATGTCAATTGATTCAGGGACTCTAAAATCATCACTATCAGCCAATGCAGGAGTTTCAGGCACAAAACTTGAGAAACAGTCGTTGGAATCTAAAAGCTCTGATAGCATTGACATAGGGACAGAAAGTCAGCTTCCTACGAATTTGATATGAGCAATTTTGATGTGCAAAATTTAAGGGCGAAAGATGAACTGGAATCCATAATTTGTGGTCTAGTTTCAGGGTTTATATAAGGTACTAAATTTCACCTATGTTGCGCGGACTCTCCAAAATGTAGCCGTACCCGTGTCGGATCCTTCAAAAATGCACTACTTTTGGAGGATTCGACACATATCCTGCCACATTTTCGGAGAGTCCGAGCAACATAGAATTTCACTTCCTTTACTCAAATGTCTGAAGACAATAGTAAGCAATACTTCATAGCATGTAAAAGAGCCTAACTTACCAGAAGAAAATGAGATATTATCTGAAGCTCTCCAAACCTGTGAAACAACTTCTAAAGTTATATTACTAATCTTAGAAATGATATTCAGAAACAATCTACAACAGTTAAAACTTTGAAAGCTCCCAGTAACTAAGGCTAAATTCAAGAAGCAGAAAGCAAAAATCTCTTCAAAGTCAATACTCTAATGCAATGGTTTCCGAGTATAATCAAACCTTATGATCACACCAAATAAAAAAAATGCATAGCTTATATTTACGCCATGGTGATAGGAATCATGGACCATCCATTTCTGTTAAACGTTGAATTAGATTCGTTAATAGATTAATACATCCACAATTAGAATAGTGGGAAAAAAGGACAGTATAGATATGTCTATTTTGGAATTTTCAGTAACTGTTGCATCATCAATTAGTCTCATCAAAAGTTTCGGCAAGTGCTGCTCTTGGACAGTCTTCTACCAACTAATGTCTTCCTTTCTGGACTTTGTTTACTGTCAGGTATCAACTTGTTCGGCTGGTTAGTCCAATAACTAATTTGATTAAAGGTTTAGCTACCACTTACACAGAAGCATTGTGAGAAATCATACACATCAATAGTGCACATGCAAATGCAAACTTGCTACTGCCAACGCTTTCCATTCCAAGCCCTAACAAGATGATTTCAGCATTGGATTGTGAATCTCTACAAACTACACCGAGCAAAAATTGACTCGAGCTTCTCAAACTAGTTGCAGATGGTTAACTTTTATGTTCGAAAGTTAAAACTTAAGTCATCACTGCTTAATAAATTCAGATGTCACATGTTCCCCAGCAAACCTACTCCTTCACCTTATTGCATATCTAGAACGTTTACTAAGTTGACGATGTCTTCAATTAAGCTACTATAATAACCTAAGGGTCAGAATGAAAGAACAACAAAACTACAGAGGTTTCCAGCTCCATTATTAAGTGGTAATGGTGTCTAGCCAAGCAACTTCATTACCATAGTAGGCAGCCGATCGAAAATAGTCATTTTCATTTCCACTGCAATTTAAATAACAATGTAAAGTGTCTCCTCTTTAACCATTTTAGACTTTAAATGAAGTGTTTCATTCAATTAAACATAGTATTAGAGCGGACAAATATCTTTAGTTTGGATCCTCCGGCCAGTCATCAACAAATATTTTCATGTATATGGTCCAAGAAAAAGAATGAGACCCCGAAGTGAAGAGGCGTATAACATGTGGGGTCCATCCCATCAATTAAGGGAGGCTTTCTTCCTTTTGTTGATTGTTCAAAATTGGCAGCAAATATTTTTCTTCTGCATTGTTAAAAAGGCTAGGTTGCAGAAGGAAAATGTTAAATGTAGTAGGCGTGAGAGACAGGGGCTCCACCTATAAAAGGAGAGCTTCGGCTCTCATTTCTACACACCAAAATCTCAGACAATACATCTGAGTGAGAGAGAGCAAGGTATTCCATAGACTATAAGAAAATAGTTTGTGAAGAAAAATAGAATATGAGAGATATTGTAGTGAGGTGGAAAAAGCAAAAGAGTGTTCTTTCTTTTGAGGGTGTAGTGGTCTTAGGAATATTTGTACTACACAGTGTAAAATTCCTCGGTATAGCGATATTAGTTGTTCTTCTTGGCCGTGGTTTTTTTACTTATTCAGAAGGGTTTCCACGTAAAATCTTGGTGTCATTATTGTTGCATTTCTATTCTTGTTGATTTAATCATAACTTAGTGTTCCGCGTTTATCACTAATACCGTGAATATTATTTTTACGGAGTTTATTCCCAACATAACAGACTAAAAAAAATTAATTAAGTATTCCCACGGCTTAACAAATTTATTTATTTATTCGACAAATTTAAGTTGGAAGAAAGGAAAAAATCTTAATGCAGCGAAAATAGTAAGGGGAAAGGGATAAGACCAGAAGTTCAAGTACCTTAATTGAACTTTGGATATCTCCTTGTGAAGCTACATTCTCATCAATGCCGCTCAAAACCGGCGATTCATATGTATAACTTGAGTACCAATTTCCAATATTTGGAGGCTCTATTTGTTAAAACGAGGAAAAAAGAAAAACTCAATTAGAGAAACAAGGGTCAGAACTTTCTAAATGATTTTTGGAGAAATTATGCGTACCAGAAGGATTCGACAGCGAATCTACAGAATCCAAGACCTGCAATTCAGAAGTGACTCGTTCAATTAGAAGTTTCAGCTTCTTTTTTAAACACATAAAAAAGAAAATTAAGTAGCTTCTGGGATTACCTGCTTAGACATCTGCCTATTATCAAAGAAATAAGAGAACGAGCAACTTTAGAACTGATGTGTTGCAACAACAATAACAAACCCAGTTTGATCCCAACAGTTAGTCTGTAGATCTTACCCTACCTAATGCAGAGAGAGGCTGCTTTCAATAGACTCTCGGCTCAAGAAGGGCGAGAAGAAAAAGAGGAAAGCAAGGAAGGACGGAAGTGTGAAAACAGCAGCTGCGTGAAGAAAAACAATGGTCCGGTTTCTTGCCATTTTCGGATCTAGACAGGAAATTATGGCGCCTTTGTTAAATTTTCAAATTCGTTTTTTCCCGGGATAATATTTTTCATCGGCCTTTAAAAATGTTTCCTTCAGGGTTCAAGCTTTTGAAAATCCACATTTCTCCTGTATTGGCCAATACGATTCAGAACTGGTCCACTCGTTTACCTTTATTACACTCGTGTGTACATACAATGATACAAAGACCATTTGGCCACTCTAGTTTGATGTTAGCATCAAAATAGCCCCTAGGTTTGAAAAATAACCAAATGGTGTTCTTTTAATTGTTAAATAACATTGTCGCATGTTTCTTTTATATGTAGGTTCATGATATTAAAGTGTTCACAACATGTACCTTCACCTTTCTCTAACGAAAATGCTTACCTTATACGTCTTTTCCTACGTAGCTCTAAAGCTGCCAAAACGGACCAGACACAAATTGAGTTTCGATTTTGATAGGATAAGACGGACCGATTTGCTATTTGAATGACCCTTAAAATACTCATCCCAACCTTAAGAGGGCCACGGACTAGTACACAGTTCGACCTTCATTATTTATTTTTTCAATTATTTTTTTTCAAATCTTTTAGGATTTCTACGTGACATAGTCCCCCTAATGAATAACTTTTGTTTGCATGTAGTGGTGCAAAAAGTTTGATATTTGACATAGGAATTTTATAATTGAAATGCAAATTTTCTATATCTCTAGATTTTTAACGTTAAATGAATATTTTTTTAAAATTTTTCTTTTCAATTTTCTTATTTCCGGGCTTATTTTTATAAGTTTATATGATGAGATATTTTAATTTGGGTCTAAGATCATTTGCCGATTTTATCTTCATATTTCATATATATTTAAAAATTCATGGAATTACCTAGTGCTTTTTTTTTGGATGTTAAACATTGATCTTCTTCTATATTAAAGAGTAGTTTAACTCTTAATAATATACTACAGTAATCCAAACTAATCCATGACAATAATTTCTTTTGAAAAAAAAAAACTGTTATTTGCCACTTAAAATTTTCCTAGTCGTTATTAATGAAGCAAAACAAAACTAATATTGTCATATTACAGACATATCAAAAATCTGAATTTTAATATCAACCATTTTGATGGAAAAATTACCATGTATTGGTGTTCAAAATATTGTTCACTTTACAGTCACAAGTCTACAGTTGTGTTTCCTTGATCTGAAATTTGCCAGTATGGTCAATTTATAATATGTGATACTAAAGCAATACATAACGTTTGGAATAACATATGTAATTAACTTTGGATCTAGGGTTGGAGAATGTGGATAATTTAGCTTTTTACTTTTTCTTTATTACATTAAATATTTAATTTCAAATTTAATTAAATTTTGTACCACGGGTCAGTTCAGGCCAGCCTAAATCAAGTCTCAAGGGTCATGAGATAATTTGGGTCGGGCTTATAAGTCTCAGCTTTAAATAGGCTCGAAAAATTAAGAAATTCAAAAATAGTCAGCTTTACAATTGGTCGTTCAAAAATAGCTCAGTTTCAAAAGTAATCGAAATTTAGCCATTTTTCATATAAAGATAAATCTAAGCGAAAACACTGTTCAAACCCCGGAAAATACGTCAGTATATTATACTGGAGTTCCAGCATAAGTATGTTTGAACTCCAGCATATTATACTGGAGTTCCAGGATAAGTATGTTGGAACTCCAGCATAATATGATGGAGTTTCAGCATAAGTACACTAGAACTCCAACATAATATACTGAAGTTCCAGCAAGTATAATTGTCCAGTATAATATACTGGAGTTTGGAGCACCGGTGCTCCAGTCTCCAGTTTATTATACTGGAGTCAGCAAAGTATACCGGTCCAGCATAATATGCTGGAGTTCATACACAGGTGCACCGAACTCCGGTATATTATGCTGGACCGGTCTCTGTTGCAGCAAAATAGTGACTATTTTTTATTGACTTCGTAAACATTGGCTATTTTTGAATAACCAGTCCAAAAACTGGTTATATCGTGCTATTTTTACTATTTCGACCCTATCCAAGTAGCGGATTGGGTTGAGCTGACCACACGGGCCCTCATTTTGGTGGCGCTACATAGCTCCTCCATACCACCTTCATCATGACATTTATATCGTCACCCACTCAAAAATTATAAAAATCTTTCAAAATTTTCCAAAAGTGAAGAAGTCTTGCTGTCTATTTGAAAATAAGTGAAAATTGAGTTTTTAAGCTCAAATTTTAAGTATTTTTACTTTTGCAACAAAAAAGAGAATAAATATTACGTAGTTATTGTAGTAGTATTTTCAAAATAAATAAGTTCAAGTGTCAATATGCATGTAAAGAGTTTTACATATGTCAAGCCTTTTAGAAACTAAGGACAAAGGTTTACTTTGTTCAAGTATCCTTCCAAGAAAAAAGAGTGACAATTTGTAAAGAAAATTAAGGACAGGTGTATGAACACTTACTCTTTTTCTTATTTGCTGGATTTGAAAATTATTATTTTGCTAATTCGTGTATCCTCTAAATAAATAGAGATATGCTTGTTTAATCCTGGGAAAATATTTTACATTGCTGAAATAGTTTCTTAGGACAATGTTTAGCACGATTCAAGCCAGTTAGTGTATTTTCGCTCACAAATAATTTTATTGCAGTATTATTATTGTTATTTTTCAGTGTCATTCCCCTACAATCTAAAAAACTATGGGAAGTAATACTACTGCGAAATTTTTTGATAGTGCTACCAATTTTTGTGATGTCTTCGCTGCTATTGTTCCAGCTGTCCTGCCTGATATCCATGATGTTGCAAATACATTATTGCAACCACAACTTTGGCAGACACTAATGCCAAAACACAGGTATGTAAATAGACATGGTTACATATCCAATGCTAAAATTAAAACCTTCAAGAAAAATACACCTAAATGCAAGAGGAGAGTTGGGATAAATGACAATCTCGCTAAGTCAAAATTAAATTTGACTAAAGCGAATAATATAATTATTGCGGTCATTTTCCAAATAAATAATGTAACCAATGTGAGAAATTGAGTGATAGACTCTGGTGCTACTAGGCACACTTGTGTAGACAAAAATAAATTTTTGTCTTACACCTAAATTAAGGAAGGAGAAGAATTTATTTATCTTGGTAACTCAAGAACAGCCGTTCTTGGGAAAGGAAAAATTCTTCTCAAACTCACATCTGGTAAAACTCTAACATTGAGTGATGTATCGCATGTTCCTAATATCCAAATCAATTTGGTTTTTGTGGGGCTATTAGGAAAAGTTGGAGTGAAGGTTTCATTTGAAAATAATAAGGTCGTGTTGACCAAAAATAATATTTTTGTGGGCAATGGATATTGTAACCATAGTTTATTTATGCTTAATATTTCTGATACTAGCAATGAAAATGCATCTTCTTCTGCTTATATGGTTGAGTCAATTTCTTTGTGACATGCTAGACTAGGACATGTTAATGTCGCGTATATAAAGAAAATGCAGTCGCTAGGATTAATATCTGATTTAGACACAAAAAATATTAACAAGTGTGAAATATGTGCTGAAGCTAAAGGTACTAAAAAGACTTGTTTTCTGTAAATAGAAAAACTGAATTGTTATCCTTGATTTACACTGATTTAGGCGATTTAAAGCAGACTATGATTAGGGGTGGTAAAAGATATTATGTGACTTTTATTGATGATTTTTCTAGATATACTAAATTGTATTTGCTTAGAAATAAAGATGATGCTTTTAATGTTTTTATTTCTTATAAAATTGAGGTTGAAAATCAACTTAGTAGAAAAATCAAGAGAAGTAGATCTGATAGAGGTGAAGAATATTTGTCTTTGAATGATTTTTGTGAAAAAAGAAGGAATAATTCATGAAGTAATTCCACCTTATTCACTTGAGTCAAATGGAGTAGCTGAAAGGAAAAATAGAACATTGAAAGAGATGATGAACTCTATGTTAGTTAGTTCTAATGCTCCTGATAATTTGTGGGGTGAAGCTATTCTATCTGCATGTCACTTACAAAATAGAATACCACGTAGAAAAACAAGCAAAACTCCTTATGAATTGTGGAAGGGTTATAAACCTAATTTAAAATATTTAAAAGTGTGGGGGTGCCTTGCTAAAGTTCTTCTGCCTGAACCTAAAAAGAGAAAAATAGGTTCTAAAACTGTTGATTGCATGCTAATTGGATATACAGAACATAGTGTTGCATGTAGATTTCTTGTTTTAAAAAGTGATGTGCTTGATTGTAATACTATAATTGAGACAAAGAATGTTGAGTTCTTTGAATATATTTATCCATTATCTAATAAAATTTCTCATAAACCTATTGAAACAAATAATGAAATTACCTCTAATGAGGAACTGAGAAGGAGCAAAAGGCCTAGGAAAGAATATTTTTCTTATGGAAATGATTTTCAAACTTTTCTTTTCGATAATGAACCATAAAATTATTTTGAAGCTATGTCTTCTTCAGACGCTAAATATTGGAAAGAGACAATAAAAGTTGAAATTGATTATATTAAGAAAAATAATACATGAATTTTAACTGATTTACCTCCTGGTGCAAAGCCTATTGGTTGTAAATGAATTTTCAAAAGGAAATTTAATCCCGATGGATCTTTAGATAAATATAAAGCTCGGTTAGTAGCAAAAGGTTTTTCTCAAAAATAAAATATAGATTATTTTGATACATTTGCACCAGTGGCTAGGATTTCTTCTATTCGAATTTTAATTGCCTTAGCTTCAATCCGTAAGCTTTTTATCCACCAAATGGATGTCAAAACTGTTTTTTTGAATGGTGATTTAGAAGAAGAAATTTATATGGTTCAACCTGAAAGATGTGTCATTCCTGAACAAGAAAATAAAGTTTGTAAATTAATTAAATCTCTTTATGGCCGTAAACAAGCTCCTAAGCAATGGTATGCGAAATTTGAACAAGTTTTACTGAGAAACGGTTTTTCTTCAGTTGAGATAGATAAATGTGTTTATACTAAAGTGGTAAACAATGATTATGTGATAATAT